AACATACTAAGATACTACAACAGAACGAACTTACTAAGATACTATAACTACAATGTGAGATACTACTTCATGGCGCTGCATACATTGCTGTTGCATGTTTTGTTACAGAGTCACCTGGAGGGAGAGCGTGAATTTGTGTATAGATCTATACGGGATTGACCATCCCACACCTTGCTGCTAGCTACAATGGGACCTGTAAGTCTACGGGTGACGAATGTCATATCATTTCGACGTCTCGAACGTCGTTTATACTAATTCAAATCAAGCATGGATACACTAATATCACATTTTACCTTAATTAAACTAATAAGTTAAAGGTCAACAGTACTGCAGGATGTCAGTTCATAAGACAGCTGAGTACTTATATATTCCTATTACTTTCATTTTGTGACAGTTCCACTTGAAAGTAAATACAAACTATTTTCGAGTCAAGATAGTTATAAGCTAGGGAAAACTTACATTTTACAACCGACACACAGAACAGTCGAGTCTAGTACCTTCAATAGAAGGGGGCCTATATGTGACAACCTGAAATTTCTATCTTGTATAATTCTTAAACTCAATCAAGTATGTCTCGTTTCTGCTAACTTTTAGCACCGTTTAGAGTCTATTCTGAGTATTCTGAGACTAGTGCATTAAAGGAATCAGTGTTTGGAAGTGTCAGTTTAAGTTCTAAACTATCTAGCAAACCGTAAACCTCCTCAAAAGGAGTTTACGGTCAGGAAGCTTAGAGCTTATGGTCATGGTGACCGTAAACTCCCTATATACACATAATTCATGATCATTTTGATCATTCCTTTCCTTTCCAAGCCAAAAATCTCGAAACTCTCTCAAGTATCATCCAATTTTTCTCTTAGATCTTCAAGATTGTAAGTATCTCTTCTCTTTATTTGTGGATATCCTTCAATATCTAGTGATTATACATGATTTCATCCATGAAATCTCTTCATTTTGATAGATCTTCAAGTGTTCTTCATTTCACCAAGAACACCAAGAACACACACTAGTGTTCTTGGATCCTAATCATCCTTACAAGCTTCTAATCAGTAAGTACACTACCCCTAGCTTGATATATGCTTGAATCACTAGTTAATCACCTTGAAAACATCATTTTTAGCCAAGAACAAGGTGTTTACGGTCTAAGTGTATCTCCTTAGACCGTAAACTCTAATGAAAGGTGCATTAGAAGCCTTAAACCCTTCCTAAGGCTAAGCATGGTCCCTACGTTTTCTCTACTTCTGGAAAAGCTGGTATTCAAATAATTGTAAATCATTGCAATAATACCATTTTTTGTAAACTCAATTTTTGTTTACTTTTCTCTCTAATCTCCTCCTCACTTTTTTTGTAGGTGAAGTTTTTTGTGAGGAAATATGTCATGAGGATCATATCCTTTTATAGGGCTCGAGAGGAGCGAGTGAGATCATGGATGATGTAAGGCATACCTGAAGTCACGAGTGAGGCAGTCTGCCAGTACGTTTTTGTTTCCTGCGAGATGTTCAACAGCGAAAGTATATCGTGAGAACCACTCTTGCCATCGTATTAGCCGGCCTAATTTGTTATCTCCTGCAATCTTCGTTCGGAGGAAATAAGTAAAATTTTTATTATCTGTACGAACCAGGAAATTTACTGGTGTTAAATATACAGAGAATTTTGTAATAACTCTTTTTACAGCGAGTAATTCTTTTTCATTGCTATGGTAGTTTTTCTCAGCTGCTTTGAAACTGCCAGAGGTGTACCTGCAAATTTGTTCTTCGTTTTTGGGGTTTTTAGCTTTTAAAACACCTCCCCAAAATTCATCAGAAGCATCAGCTTCAATAATTAAACTGTCTTCAATGTTTGGAAGATAAAGTTTTGGAAAATTGATTAAAACTTTCTTTATCTTTTTGATGTAGTCTGTATCAGCATTTGACCAATTCCAGATGACATCTTTTTTTAATTTTACCTGTAAAGGTTTTCTCATGGCTGCAAGTTTTTCAATATATGTTTCAGCATAAGTTAAAACACCAAGAAATCTTTGCAGTTGTTTTTTGTCTTCTAAAACATTTGGAAAGTCATGTAAATGTTCAAGAATATGCTTTTGAGGACAATGAGTACCTTCACTACATTGGTATAAATTGAGTTTACAAAAATGGAAGACCTCAACATTTTGAGGATGAAGAAACAAATGCTCCTCATAGAGCTATCTGCAATTGAGCAGAAAATCAACTTGTATGAACAAGTAACAACGGTCACCAATGTACCGGAAAGCGAAAGCTCAAAAACAAAGGCTATTCCAGTGCAAACGGCACCTGGTAAAGAATCAACAAATCCGTTGAAAGCTGATGCTTTGCTAAAAAGCATAATAAAGGAGACAGCTACTCCTCATCCTAATGGAAAAACTAGCTTATTGGTTGATCCCAATCCTTGTACTGAAGGAATCAGTAAAATGACAACTTTGTCACCCACTAACAAATCTGTGCAGGAGTTCACACCAGATTACAAAAAAGCTCTTAACAAAGAAGCTGAAAGATTTTATGTAATCTATAAAGGACCCCATGCCGGTGTTCATACTGACTGGGGAATTACAGAAACCTTCTGTAAAGTTGATAAAGTTACTTGCAAAAAATTCAGAAATGAAACATCTGCAAGATTAAGCCTTGCCACTTATCAAGACGATACAAGCAAGACTAACCAACCACTTCTTCGACCAAAAATTCAAAAAGTCAAAGAAGCCCACAGAGACCAAAGGTTTGACGTTCCAATTGACGTTCAACAAATGGTTAACTATCCTGAAATCTCTTTTGAAGATTTCAGAACAATCTGGAAGAAAGCAAGGGCTGCATGCCCAGAAGACCTTGTTCATGAAAAGTTTTTCACTACGGACAAGAAAACAAAAAGTCTGTTCAACTTTCTCGAAGGAGCAGATGCAAAACTAGTCTACCAAGCCTTCAAGCTGGACTAATCGACAATATCTACCCAAGCTGCAACCTTCAAGAACTCAAATTCTTCCCAAGCAGCATGGTAGAATCCATTAAGAACTTTCGAAAGAAAGTACCTAAAGCAAAAGATAATCCGATCTACATCAGATGCATCTCTTCACTCCCAGAATGGATTCAAGAATCAACTCTTTCTCCATACCACTTTCTGGAAATTGGTCTTTCTAAAGCCAATAGAGAGATTGAACAATCTCAACCAATGGAAGATAAAGATCTACCTTTCACAGAAATTCTTCATCCTAACCGCATCAATGGTTTAAGAAGAATATCAGAAAAAATCATTGAAATTATCTCTGGTTCAAAAAAGAAGATTAATTATACCGATTCACATTGTATAATTACAAGCTGGAGTTACACAACACCAGCCAAGAAGATCTTCGTCAAGCCTCCAAGTTTGGAGAAAAATTCATGAACAATAGCATGGAAGTATCCAATGCTACACGCCAACACTTCTGCCGACATGCAGAACAACTTTTCGAAGAACATCTTTGTCACTTTTGCGATTGCAAAGATTCGGAGACAAAGGAGGGACCCCCCTCTGAAGATGACAAATCCTCATCATCTTAAAGAAAGATGCTTCACGTGTCAAATGGCCCCACCACTCAAAATAATAATGCCTTTTCTCCATTATTAAAAGCTTTCCAGCTGTCCACAATAATGTAATCTTTAGTGGATAAAAACGTCATGCCTGACATAATAGGCAAGGATCAGACCCTCTCAATATATCTATAAATTGAGAGTTATGTTTTGGGAAAAAGATCATCGCAATAACGAGTGCAACAAAAACACTCTCTATCTTGTAAATTTTCAGTTCAATGTCTTGTGAGTAAAAATCTCCCTTAGAAGGGAGAGATGTAAAATATTATAGGAGTACTCCCATTTCGGGAGCTCTTTTATCAATAAATCTTTGTTTTGTTATACTTGAGTGTTCTTACAAAATAGAGTCATGAGGTCGACGATGGTCAACAGTACCACAGGCATGAGGCCAACAGGGAAAGCAACCACATAGACCAATGATTGACACAGGCTGGCTTGAATAGTTTCTATCTATGTAAGTAATACTCCTACTACAAAACAGTTATTGATTAATGAGTTTTCTCTTTACAATTTTTTGCATCTATTTCCTTCTAAACATAAAGATATACAAAACAAATTCCGTACACCAACATTGGTATCAGAGCCTTGTTATCAAGGTGTTTTATTGAAGTATTTTCCTTTGCTATAGGCTTCTGTAACCTTTTTTATAATTACCATATCATTATTAAGATGGAAGGCGATTCTATCTATCCATTGTATGAATGGTCCATAAACTTGACAGAAGTTGTTTCCAATTATGATATCAATTCCTGAATTTTGTTGGTAAATAGGAACGTTGAAATGTTCTCCTAAAAGTTCGAGATTAATGTTTCTACAAACTTTATTAATTTTTAAGGTTTCACCATTTGCAATAGTGGCACTAATTTCTTTGGGAGCGTTTTCCCAGAGTTCATCCGGAATGATGAATTTGCTTGCAAGACATAAAGATGCACCTGATGCTTCACGTGTCAAATGGCCCCACCACTCAAAATAATAATGCCTTTTCTCCATTATTAAAAGCTTTCCAGCTGTCCACAATAATGTAATCTTTAGTGGATAAAAAACGTCATGCCTGACATAATAGCAAGGATCAGACCCTCTCAATATATCTATAAATTGAGAGTTATGTTTTTGGAAAAAAGATCATCGCAATAACGAGTGCAACAAAACACTCTCTATCTTGTAAATTTTCAGTTCATGTCTTGTGATAAAAATCTCCCTTAGAAGGGAGAGATGTAAAATTTATAGGAGTACTCCCATTTCGGGAGCTCTTTTATCAATAAATCTTTGTTTTGTTATACTTGAGTGTTCTTACAAAATAGAGTCATGAAACCTGTAAGTGACAGAGTGTCAGGTCGACGATGGTCAACAATACCACAGGCATGAGGCCAACAAAAAAAGTGAGGAGGAGATTAGAGAGAAAAGTAAACAAAAATTGAGTTTACAAAAATGGAAGACCTCAACATTTTGAGGATGAAGAAACAAATGCTCCTCATAGAGCTATCTGCAATTGAGCAGAAAATCAACTTGTATGAACAAGTAACAACGGTCACCAATGTACCGGAAAGCGAAAGCTCAAAAACAAAGGCTATTCCAGTGCAAACGGCACCTGGTAAAGAATCAACAAATCCGTTGAAAGCTGATGCTTTGCTAAAAAGCATAATAAAGGAGACAGCTACTCCTCTTCCTAATGGAAAAACTAGCTTATTGGTTGATCCCAATCCTTGTACTGAAGGAATCAGTAAAATGACAACTTTGTCACCCACTAACAAATCTGTGCAGGAGTTCACACCAGATTACAAAAAAGCTCTTAACAAAGAAGCTGAAAGATTTTATGTAATCTATAAAGGACCCCATGCCGGTGTTCATACTGACTGGGGAATTACAGAAACCTTCTGTAAAGTTGATAAAGTTACTTGCAAAAAATTCAGAAATGAAACATCTGCAAGATTAAGCCTTGCCACTTATCAAGACGATACAAGCAAGACTAACCAACCACTTCTTCGACCAAAAATTCAAAAAGTCAAAGAAGCCCACAGAGACCAAAGGTTTGACGTTCCAATTGACGTTCAACAAATGGTTAACTATCCTGAAATCTCTTTTGAAGATTTCAGAACAATCTGGAAGAAAGCAAGAGCTGCATGCCCAGAAGACCTTGTTCATGAAAAGTTTTTCACTACGGACAAGAAAACAAAAAGTCTGTTCAACTTTCTCGAAGGAGCAGATGCAAAATTAGTCTACCAAGCCTTTCAAGCTGGACTAATCGACAATATCTACCCAAGCTGCAACCTTCAAGAACTCAAATTCTTCCCAAGCAGCATGGTAGAATCCATTAAGAACTTTCGAAAGAAAGTACTTAAAGCAAAAGATAATCCGATCTACATCAGATGCATCTCTTCACTCCCAGAATGGATTCAAGAATCAACTCTTTCTCCATACCACTTTCTGGAAATTGGTCTTTCTAAAGCCAATAGAGAGATTGAACAATCTCAACCAATGGAAGATAAAGATCTACCTTTCACAGAAATTCTTCATCCTAACCGCATCAATGGTTTAAGAAGAATATCAGAAAAAATCATTGAAATTATCTCTGGTTCAAAAAAGAAGATTAATTATACCGATTCACATTGTATAATTACAAGCTGGAGTTACAACAACACCAGCCAAGAAGATCTTCGTCAAGCCTCCAAGTTTGGAGAAAAATTCATGAACAATAGCATGGAAGTATCCAATGCTACACGCCAACACTTCTGCCGACATGCAGAACAACTTTTCGAAGAACATCTTTGTCACTTTTGCGATTGCAAAGATTCGGAGACAAAGGAGGGACCCCCCTCTGAAGATGACAAATCCTCATCATCTTAAAGAAAGATGCTTCACGTGTCAAATGGCCCCACCACTCAAAATAATAATGCCTTTTCTCCATTATTAAAAGCTTTCCAGCTGTCCACAATAATGTAATCTTTAGTGGATAAAAACGTCATGCCTGACATAATAGGCAAGGATCAGACCCTCTCAATATATCTATAAATTGAGAGTTATGTTTTGGGAAAAAGATCATCGCAATAACGAGTGCAACAAAAACACTCTCTATCTTGTAAATTTTCAGTTCAATGTCTTGTGAGTAAAAATCTCCCTTAGAAGGGAGAGATGTAAAATATTATAGGAGTACTCCCATTTCGGGAGCTCTTTTATCAATAAATCTTTGTTTTGTTATACTTGAGTGTTCTTACAAAATAGAGTCATGAAACCTGTAAGTGACAGAGTGTCAGGTCGACGATGGTCAACAGTACCACAGGCATGAGGCCAACAGGGAAAGCAACCACATAGACCAATGATTGACACAGGCTGGCTTGAATAGTTTCTATCTATGTAAGTAATACTCCTACTACAAAACACTTATTGATTAATGAGTTTTCTCTTTACAATTTTTTGCATCTATTTCCTTCTAAACATAAAGATATACAAAACAAATTCCTAAACATAAAGATATACAAAACAAATTCCGTACACCAACATTGGTATCAGAGCCTTGTTAAAAAATGGTACTACATTATAATAAAACACTTTACAGTGAATTATTTGAAGAAATTCGTAATACAGAGAATGAGATTTCTCAACATAAAGATATACTTTTAAGTAATAAAAAAGATTTAGTGCATATAAATTTCAGAATTCTACAAGCACAAAATAAACATACTCACGAATATATACCAACCATGGTTAATATACGTAAGTACCTCCTTCATAGGCAAAAAATGCATCAAGAACACCTTGATAAAGCTTTAAACTCAGTTTCAGAACTCAGAAAAAGGATTTTAACTTGTTAACATTTCTTAAACATGAATAAAGAAATTTTCAACAATTCTGAAGAAAATGATTCAGAAGAAAAACAAATCCTAACTTATGTTGAGGATGAAGACGGCTTTCATGCAAACCTCTTAATAAAACAAGATCTTCTCTCTCGGGTCAAGAAAACAGATTTAAAAATAAAGAAAGAAAACATTTTCAAAAATGTTCCTTCTAAACTTAGTATTTTAAATCCGCTTAAAAGGAAAAATGAAATTTTCTACTTTGTTAGTACTAAAGAAATGTCTGTAGACATAAAAGACACAATAGGAGCTGTCTTTCTACCCCTTTTGACTAAAGAACAAATAAACAATAACTTAAAAAGTATTCCAGTTGAGATTAGATCAAAAGTAAGAATGGTCCATATCGGAGCTGTAAAAATTTTGATAAAATCCCAATTCCAAGCAGGAATAAATTCTCCCATAAAAATGGCCTTAATTGACAACAGAATTACTGACAGACAGGACTGCATCTTAGGTGCTGCTAGGGGAAACCTTGCATACCAAAAATTTATGTTTTCAGTCTATCCAAAATTTGCTCTAGATTTGAAATCTGCAAATATAGATAAAACTTTATCTTTTATACATCACTTTGAAAGAAGTGACCTTATGAACCCAGGTGATAAACCATTCACCATAACCTATCTCATAGGATATGCCCTGACCAATAGTCACCATAGCATAGACTACAAGAAAGACGAGTACATCGAACTTGATGATGTCTTTTCAGAAATAGGCCATGTCAAAGATAAACAATTCTGCGACATAAATCCTCAAGAAAACTCTTGGGTTTTAAATATAGCTAGAAACAAAAAAGCTCTAGGAGAAACTCTTAGACCAAGAATTTCTATGGATTCACTCCATATAGGAGAAAGCTCAGAAAGAAAAGATAGTAACTTAATAAGAAACATGTCTTTAAAAATTGATAGTCTACGTCAGAATATCAAACAAATCTCTGAGGTAATAAATGAGTAATAAAATAGATTTTCCTCATTTTTATAAAAAAGGTAAAACAGTAAAAATCAAAACCCTTGACGACAATACTGAAAAGAAAGAATACGTTTTCTCTACTTCTGGAAAAGCTGGTATTCAAACAATTGTAAATCATTGCAATAATCTCAACCAGATCATTGCAAGATGTCTCTTAAAAACTTCGAAAATATGCCATTACCTTGGTATTTCAAAAGATATTTCTAAAGATATTTCTAAAAATAAAATACCTTTTAACCAATTTAAAAACGATTTAGCCATTTTGGTTAAAAATAATCTTGATAAAAATAATTTTGAAAAATTCTTCGAAGTTATTGAAAGACAAAATAAACTAACTATCAAGCTAACCCAGTCTATTGACAAACATTCTATTCTTTTAGAAAACTCTTTAAAAAACAACCATTTTGTTGAAGAAGTCGCCAAAAAGGCAAATATTGAAGGCACTCTTAAAGAAAACAACCTTAAGATCACTAATATACAAGAGCAGTTAAAACAACTGATAGGATGACCTCGATACCCGAGCTAAATAGATCAATCAACCTCCTTAATGAAAAAATAGATGGGCTGATTATAAACTTTGACTTAACGGCCATTAAATACGTAACCACTACACAGTTAGAAGTAGCATCTGCAAAAATTATTGCAGACATTACTAAAGAGTTATCTGAAAAGATTGACTCTTGCCCTTGTAATAAAGACATTCTTGAACACATCAAGAATATTCCCATCATAGAACAAAAAACCAAAACTGGAAAATATTCAGGTCTTAAGAAATACTCACCTCCCAATCCAAGTATTGGAAACCCTGACTTAGGAAGCTCAAAAGACTCCCAGAAAATCGATATTTTCAAAAAGAGCAAAAATGAAAGAAACAATCTCTGAGAAACTTGAGAAATATTTCTTTAACCTTCAATATGAAGATTATGATAAGGCTGACCAAAAACTTATTCAGCTTTTATCTTTAGAAACTGAAGAATGCGAAGAATTGTATCAAAAAGAACCCAAACTTTTTGATCAATATTTTAGAATGACTAAAATAGATGAACCTGATACTGAATCAGAACAAGAAGATAACTTTAAGACTAATACAAAAACTGTAAAGTTCGAATATTCAGATATGGAAGATGATGAAGCAGAATCTTCTTATACAGCCGCTAGAAGAAGCAATAAAAAGAAATATGAGTTCAAAATGCCTGTCCACAATGGTATTCCAAATAGTGGTCAAGGATCCAATACGATCAATGTACTCAATATTGATTGTATCCAAGATCTAAAACTCAGAGAAAGAGTTGTAGAAAAATGGGTTACTGAGATTTCACTAATCTTACAGACAAACCCAGATGAATTTGAAAAAGCAAAAAATGTTCTACTACTTTTAGAACACAAAACTGATGGAATTGTGCAAAAATTCCTAAGAAACAATAATTGGAATGAAGAAATGCATGGTTCAGATCTTTTTGATAATATCATAAATGTCATATACACTACTTTCTTAGGTCTTGATTATATTTCTAATAAAGACTTCACCATTAATAAGAAAGTTGACATAGCAAGAGTTTCAATGACAAAACTCCAATTACATGATATTAGTCTTCTCGACAAATACACATGTATGTATGAATCATATCTGTATGATATTCCACAAAGAAGTGAATATGCGCAATGGATATCTGCTTACCTCATGAAAATTCCAATTATTGGAGAAACCTGTACAGACAGATGGAAAAAAGAAGTTACTGGAGAAATCCAGCAAACCAGTCTTTCTTATGCAACAAAATTGCAAAAGAAGAAATTGATAGAATCTGTCAAGACAGATATAAACAACAAAAACTTAAAACAATAAGCAAAGATTGTTGTAGCATTCTCTCTGATTTCAAAAACTTTGATATTGGAAAGAAAAATTATAATAAGAAAAAGTATAAAAACAAAAGAAATTCAAATCTTTTTGGAAAAAGAAAAGAAGAAAATTTTCACCAGGAAAATACTTCAAAAAACCTTCAAAAGAAACACCTAAGAAGAATACTTCCTGTCCGCAAGGAAAGAAAAAATGTAGGTGTTGGATCTGCAATGAAGAAGGACACTACGCCAATGAATGTCCAAATAGAAAAAAATACCCAGACAAAGTCAAGGTTTTACAAACCGCTAACAATGGGGGATATGAAGCTCTTGAAGAAGAGTATGATGGTACACAACATGTTTTTATATATCATGTTGAGACAGAATCTTCATCAGACACTGATGAATACGAATCAACAACGGATGACTCAGACTAGTCCCATACAAACCCCACTTTTCAGAGAGGAGGAGATTAACCATTTTTGCGTAAACCTCCAGAAGATTGATGATTCCCTTATCATGAATCTTACTAATCCAAACTCTATCTATGTTTCTACTTTCCTTAACTTTAAAGGATATAAAAAATTTAGAGTACATTGTTTTGTAGACACAGGTGCATCTTTATGTCTTGCAAGCAAATTCATCATTCCGGATGAACTCTGGGAAAACGCTCCCAAAGAAATTAGTGCCACTATTGCAAATGGTGAAACCATAAAAATTAATAAAGTTTGTAGAAACATTAATCTCGAACTTTCAGGAGAACATTTCAACGTTCCCACTATTTACCAACAAAATTCAGGAATTGATATCATAATTGGAAACAACTTCTGTCAAGTTTATGGACCATTCATACAATGGATATCGCCTTTCATCTTAATAATGATATGGTAATTATAAAAAAGGTTACAGAAGCCTATAGCAAAGGAAAACCAGGTTTTCTTGAAACTCAAGAAAAAGGTTCTAAAGAAAAACAAATTCCAGGTACTAATATAACCCATGAAGGGATTAATAAAGAAAGATTATTTCTATTCAAACTACCAGGTTCAAACAGATTGAAGATCTTCTTGAAAAAGTTTGTTCTGAAAATCCTATTGATCCAAATAAAACCAAAGGATGGATGAAAGCTTCAATTAAGCTTATTAATCCCAGGACGGTTATTAGAGAAAAACCTATGGTTTACTCTTTACAAGATAGAGAAGAATTTTCCAAACAAATCAAGGAATTACTTGATATGAGACTAATTATAGAATCAAAATCCCCTCATATGTCTCCTGCCTTTCTTGTCAATAAAGAAGCAGAGAAAAGAAGAGGAAAGAAGCGCATGGTTGTCAATTACAAAGCAATCAATGATGCAACTATTGGAGACTCACATAATCTTCCCAATATGCACGAACTCTTGACTCTTCTACGAGGAAAAAAACATTTATTCAAGCTTCGACTGCAAGTCAGGTTTCTGGCAAGTTCTACTTGATGAAGAATCGCAGCTTCTCACTGCCTTCACATGTCCTGATGGACTCTTTCAATGGAAAGTACTACCCTTTGGGCTTAAACAAGCTCCTAGTATTTTTCAAAGACACATGCAGAACGCTCTTCGAGGCCTTGAAGGTTTCTGCACTGTATACGTTGATGACATCATGATCTTCAGCAAAAATGAACAAGAACACTATGTTCATGTCACACAGGTTCTCAGAACTATTTTAAAATATGGAATAATACTTTCAAAAAAGAAAGCTCATCTTTTCAAAACAAAAATCAATTTTTTGGGTTTAGAAATAAATGAAGGTACTCATTGTCCTCAAAGCATATTCTTGAACATTTACATGACTTTCCAAATGTTTTAGAAGACAAAAAACAACTGCAAAGATTTCTTGGTGTTTTAACTTATGCTGAAACATATATTGAAAAACTTGCAGCCATGAGAAACCTTTACAGGTAAAATTAAAAAAGATGTCATCTGGAATTGGTCAAATGCTGATACAGACTACATCAAAAAGAAAGTTTTAATCAATTTTCCAAAACTTTATCTTCCAAACATTGAAGACAGTTTAATTATGAAACTGATGCTTCTGATGAATTTTGTTTTTATAAAGCTAAAAAACCCCAAAAACGAGAACAAATTTGCAGTTTACGAAATTGCTCTGAGAGAGAAGATGGTACTTGTTACATTATAGAAAACACTTTACAGTGAATTATTTGAAGAAATATATACAGAGAATGAGATTTCTCAACATAAAGATATACTTTAAGTAATAAAAAAGATTTAGTGCATATAAATTTCAGAATTCTACAAGCACAAATAAACATACTCACGAATATATACCAACCTGGTTAATATACGTAGTACCTCCTTCATAGGCAAAAAATGCATCATCAAGACACCTTGATAAAGCTTTAAACTCAGTTTCAGAACTCAGAAAAGGATTTTAACCTTGTTAACATTTTCTTAAACATGAATAAAGAAATTTTCAACAATTCTGAAGAAAATGAGTCAGAAGAAAACAAATCCTAACTTATGTTGAGGATGAAGACGGCTTTCATGCAAACCTCTTAATAAAACAAGATCTTCTCTCTCGGTCAAGAAAACAGATTTAAAAATAAAGAAAGAAACATTTTCAAAAATGTTCCTTCTAAACTTAGTATTTTAAATCCGCTTAAAAGGAAAATGAAATTTTCTACTTTGTTAGTACTAAAGAAATGTCTGTAGACATAAAAGACACAATAGGAGCTGTCTTTCTACCCCTTTTGACTAAAGAACAAATAAACAATAACTTAAAAAGTATTCCAGTTGAGATTAGATCAAAAGAATGGTCCATATCGGAGCTGTAAAAATTTTGATAAAATCCCAATTCCAAGCAGGAATAAATTCTCCCATAAAAAATGGCCTTAATTGACAACAGATTACTGACAGACAGACTGCATCTTAGGTGCTCGAGGGGAAACCTTGCATACCAAAAATTTATGTTTTCAGTCTATCCAAATTTGCTCTAGATTTGAAATCTGCAAATATAGATAAAACTTTATCTTTTATACATCACTTTGAAAGAAGTGACCTTATGAACCCAGGTGATAAACCATTCACCATAACCTATCTCATAGGATATGCCCTGACCAATAGTCACCATAGCATAGACTACAAGAAAGACGAGTACATCGAACTTGATGATGTCTTTTCAGAATAGGCCATGTCAAAGATAACAATTCTGCGACATAAATCCTCAAGAAAACTCTTGGGTTTTAAATATAGCTAGAAACAAAAAAGCTCTAGGAGAAACTCTTAGACCAAGAATTTCTATGGATTCACTCCATATAGGAAAAGCTCAGAAAGAAAGATAGTAACTTAATAAGAAACATGTCTTTAAAATTGATAGTCTACGTCAGAATATCAAACAAATCTCTGAGGTAATAAATGAGTAATAAATTGATTTTCCTCATTTTATAAAAAAGGTAAACAGTAAAAATCAAAACCTTGACGACAATACTGAAAAGAAAGAATACGTTTTCTCTACTTCTGGAAAAGCTGGTATTCAAACAATTGTAAATCATTGCAATAATCTCAACCAGATCATTGCAAGATGTCTCTTAAAACTTCGAAAATATGCCATTACCTTGGTATTTCAAAAGATATTCTAAAGATATTCTAAAATAAAATACCTTTTAACCAATTTAAAAACGATTTAGCCATTTTGGTTAAAATAATCTTGATAAAATAATTTTGAAAAATTCTTCGAAGTTATTGAAAGACAAAATAAACTAACTATCAAGCTAACCCAGTCTATTGACAAACATTCTATTCTTTTAGAAAACTCTTTTAAAAACAACCATTTTGTTGAAGAAGTCGCCAAAAAGGCAAATATTGAAGGCACTCTTAAAGAAAACAACCTTAAGATCACTAATATACAAGAGCAGTTAACAACTGATAGGATGACCTCGATACCCGAGCTAAATAGATCAATCAACCTCCTTAATGAAAAAATAGATGGGCTGATTATAAACTTTGACTTAACGGCCATTAAATACGTAACCACTACACAGTTAGAAGTAGCATCTGCAAAAATTATTGCAGACATTACTAAAGAGTTATCTGAAAAGATTGACTCTTGCCCTTGTAATAAAGACATTCTTGAACACATCAAGAATATTCCCATCATAGAACAAAACCAAAACTGGAAAATATTCAGGTCTTAAGAATACTCACCTCCCAATCCAAGTATTGGAAACCCTGACTTAGAAGCTCAAAAGACTCCCAGAAAATCGATATTTTCAAAAAAGAGCAAAAATGAAAGAAACATCTCTGAGAAACTTGAGAAATATTTCTTTAACCTTCAATATGAAGATTATGATGATAGGCTGACCAAAAACTTATTCAGCTTTTATCTTTAGAAACTGAAGAATGCGAAGAATTGTATCAAAAAGAACCCAAACTTTTTGATCAATATTTAGAATGACTAAATAGATGAACCTGATACTGAATCAGAACAAGAAGATAACTTTAAGACTAATACAAAACTGTAAAGTTCGAATATTCAGATATGGAAGATGATGAAGCAGAATCTCTTATACAGGCCGCTAGAAGAAGCAATAAAAAGAATATGAGTTCAAAATGCTGTCCACAATGGTATTCCAAATAGTGGTCAAGGATCCAATACGATCAATGTACTCAATATTGATTGTATCCAAGATCTAAAACTCAGAGAAAGAGTTGTAAAAAATGGGTTACTGAGATTTCACTAATCTTACAGACAAACCCAGATGAATTTGAAAAAGCAAAAAATGTTCTACTACTTTTAGAACACAAACTGATGGAATTGTGCAAAAATCCTAAGAAACAATAATTGGAATGAAGAATGCATGGTTCAGATCTTTTTGATAATATCATAAATGTCATATACACTACTTTCTTAGGTCTTGATATATTTCTAATAAAGACTTCACCATTAATAAGAAAGTTGACATAGCAAGAGTTTCAATGACAAAACTCCAATTACATGATATTAGTCTTCTCGACAA